TCGCTATGTAACGCCATTTGTGTAACGGTCATGCGCATGAAACAACACTGTATATAAAGAATCCCTCATGTTTAAAGACATATCTTGAACAGGAGATGGGAGTGGGTATTTTGGAAGAAAGAGAAAATACAAAGAGAGAGGGCCTTGCATTGACTGAGGATGATAAGTGACAAGCACGGAGGAGCATGGCTAACTAGACTTTTTGCATCCAACCTTCAAAAAAAGAAAGAAAAAAATGATTGGGTGTAATGACAACGAATTGCTCCCAAGGGGCTCTGTGGTTCAGTCAAGCTCCACCCTGAAGTGGGCTGACTTTACTTAACAGAGACCATGGAGGCCCCAGCGAGGACAAACGTTCTCTTAGAAAGGGTCACCCTCTTCTCTTTTCTCCCACCACTCACCTCTCCCTTCAGCCCATTACTATTAATAATAATCATTTATTTTCCCACAGCTCTTATTTCCTAATTGTTAAACCACTGTCACGAAGCACTAAGGTTGGCATTTGGCTGAAGAGAGTGGCAGGAAAGGACCACACTGGTCTACTCTGCAACATACACAGTGATCTTCTCTCTTCGATTTTTGGCCTTGGTTTATGGCCTTGAAAACCAAGGTCAAAAATGCTAAGCATACAGGTTCCATTTCATTTCTGTTCAGCTTCCATTCACTAAGTACTTACTATGTCCAAGGTACTTGGCATACAAGTGCCTTACCTAAATCATCTGATTTAACTTGTACTGAAAACTCAGTGATACCTGTTCCCATTTTCCAGATGACTGAAGCTTAGAGAGATTGTGTATCTTTTCACATGACAGTTGAACTTAACTTTCCAGGGGAGTATCACCCCAATTGGGACTACCATGAATCATCAAATCAAAGGATATTTACTTTTTATCATATTGGTAGGAAATTTTAAGAATGGTCAAACTTTGGTTGACATCCAAGTGGAAAGAAGTGCATCAAGTTCTGTCCTCACTGATTGCCTGTAACATCTAAACATTCTCATATTTGAGATTGAGAACACATTCAAATAACTTAAATACTCCTTTGAAGCATGGGGCCACATTTAGGTAGCACCCATTTCTTCTATGTTCTGTTGGAAATCCATGTCACTAGGACATTTTGTTCTATGAAAACCGAGCAGTAGGAGTGGCAGGTCGCTTCATGTCTGCTGCTGTTGTTGATAATGCTTTCATGTCTGTGGATATGCAACTGCATGATCGCTTGGTTTCCACCCAAGAGTTATCTGTTCATAAATTATTTTCACATTTCATAGCCTACAGTCTGTAAATATCTAACTGATGAGCACCTGTATGTTAGCCCAGTAAAAAACTATGCATCTAAATGGCTCAAATAAAAATATCTGATTTAGAAGCACTGTCAGCATAGGGGAGAATTTTCGAATGCAGCCAAGGGGCATAGCGTTACTTCTACAGAAGTGTGGCTTTTAAAGGAGGTCACTAGTGTTGCCACACTAGTGTCTTCACTTCTAAGTCTAAACCTTTTATGTTGTATGTATCACCTGCTTCCTAACTGGAAATTCAAGAAAGCAGTCTTCATCATAAAATAAGTTGAGGGATATGCAGTGATCACTTGACTTAACTTAGCACTTTGAAATAAATAACATATCCGTGGCTCACAGTGTTTAATTCCATTCTTTGGCTTTACTCAGTGGCTCTTTTTCCTTTTTAAATTGCCCTTTTCTTCATTATGCTGCTTCGGGTTATTTACACATATATACACATATAACACAAATGCATTCTCCCTGGCTAACTTTTACGTGTATGACTTTTATGCAATCGTCACATTCTTCTAGAAAAGAGAAATTATTGCTATTTGCCACTAGCATCCACCTAGGAGATCATCTATCTACCTATGCCAATTAAAAAATATCCAGTTCATGAAAAGCGTTGGTAAATCTTCAGCTTGCAGATAAGCATTCATTTCAGAAGTGCTGCACTCATAAAACTGTTTCCAAACTCAAGATTTACTTTGTTTTTTTCCCTCTGAACAGCAGTATTCATTCTGCCTAGCCAATATTACAGTGATGAAAAACCGAATTTTGACAACTAATGTACCGTACGTTGGAAGCAAGCATGAAAAAAACATCTTAGAAACATTGGACTTTTCCTTTTGAGTGTCCATAATGAAAATATTTGAGTTACATCTAGACCGGTAGGATCTGTGGTTCTCAAAATGCCAATATCTGAAACTTTGCTGAGGTTATACAAAAGAAAAAGAATGCCAACATAGAGGTGCTGAAATCCCTGATGATTTGCCAGACGTTATCCCCAGAAACTTAGACCAAGACTTTCTACAGGTAAGAAGAAACTGGTATGCTTTATGTAAAAGGTGCCATGATTAGGACCACCCATCTTTAAAAGGTGGCTTTTTTTTTTTGAAATCTCATTGTCTTCTTTCTACAGCTATTTCTTACAGTGATTAGCACCTTGCCAGGGAGTTATAGGTAACTTGTCACTCAGAAAAATCCCTCAATGAAATCTCACTGGAGACTTCCTTCCCTCTGAGCTTGGGCAAACATTGTATTACCTAGAAGTCCAGAAATCGTCCATAAAGTTTCACAAAGGCTTTCTCCGACCTGCTTTTAAAGAAACCTTTCATGAACCCAGCAACTCAGTCCTTTCACTTAACTGCTGGCAGAAATTATCCAGACCCAGGTTATACTAAGTCCTTTAGGATAGATGTCATTTCTTCCCTTCGACCCCAGGTAGCACTATGTCTAGTGACATACTATATTAGCAAGAGCAAAGCACTAGGCACTTCATTTACATTATGGCACTGGAATCTCGGCTGATAACACCAAAACAAAAAATGACAGTCATTCAAGCTGCTTTGTCACCAGGGCATGCACCAGCCCCCATGACCCAGCACCTTTAAAGTTTTGATAGTTTAAAAAAAAAAAAAAGTTAAATTACACACACAATACAATGTCCGTCCTAAAACAAAACCAGAGGCATTTTTAGCTAAACAATTTTATTGGCTTTTTTGTGAAATAAAAAACACACAACAAACCACCATGGTTAAAGGCCATGATCAGCATCAACCAAATGAACCAGCCACTTGGTTACAGTAGCTGATAACAACACTAGTGGATATTATTGCTTATACCCCAAGTTCATTTATATGTCCATTACATTTTGGCAAGATTACAATCAAATGGGAGCTTTGGTTGTAAAAATTGAACTATGACTACTCATTGAAAACTCAGCGTCTACCATTTTATAATGGGATACATGTCAATTTTTCTGCATCTTGACATTTATCTCCTCCTTCTGTCTCCTTTCTCCTTCTATTAATAAGATTTAGAAGCCTACTGAAAAAAATTAAGGTGGATGCATTTATAACTATCCCTACTCTACTGCCTCCTCTTTTGTCATGACAGGGTGATGCATTTCTGGGCCTCTCCAAGATCTTCTATCTGGTGTGTTTCCACTGCCAGTAATAAATGCCCATCTGTAAACTAGATAGATTTTCAAATGCATATGGCTGTCAACATTGGGGTTTGGACCCAACTGTCTCGTTTCCATCTTCCGAAAAGCTAGAAGAAAAAATAAAAACAAAACCAACAGCCCTTAGCATTGGTATGTTGATCTCCCAACAGAATGAGCCTCACCCCCTGCCACATGACATCCCATGGCAGGTGTGGAGCTGTGGCCTTAAAATGGTCTCTGTGTGTGCTGTAACATTTCAATTTACAGACACACAATGACTGACTGCCTACCGAAAGCTCCCTGCTCTCACACTTTCTAGTTTAACACTGAAAACTCCGAATGAGAAAGGGTCAGAACTAACTCACAATAGCACCATTTCCGAGACTCTTGGAATTAGATTCCGTTCCGTGTAGGAGAACGCAGGCGCCCAGCCTCCGGCTTTGTGCTTTCACAGGCTTCCAATGCATTTCAGCGGAAGTGGGTGGTCTGCCTCAGCCTACTTCTGCAGCAACATGAATTTTCCCTGGGAAGAGTTAAAAATATGGGTCTTACAAAGTGAAGTGGGCCACAGGTGAGAAGCCTGAGGAAGCCTGTTTCTGGTGGTGGTGAGATGTGACAAGCCTGTAGTCGGCAGGAGGGAGTCCAGGGACCTTTTCCCTTGCCCATCCCGATTCAAGTCAGTGAAGAATCTGCATGCAGAAGCATGGCAAGTTCAAGGAATACTGAGAGACGTAAACCCTAATCCAGCAATCTGAACACCAGCGCTCTAATGGTATCTTATGTATTCAGGTCCACCAGTGAGTTTGCCCTGGATAATGCTGGGATTTAATAAGCCCTTCTAATGATTATAAAGATTATCCTCCTGAAACTAGACATTGGAAACAACAGAATATTTGATATCACTATATTTTACATGGCACATATAACCATATAATTACCAGCACTTAACACGGCAAATATTGTAAATACACGTTCTTGGAGTTGACTTGTTAATGACACCGATGTTATTCGGCAGAACAAAGATTAAACACTCTCCAATTTGCACGTTGGGGGATTTCATTCCCCCCCTTCCCTTCACAACAAAAGGATAACCCTCTAATTATGTAATAATGCTCGGTGGTCACATGGGCAAAGAGAATCACAGGGTGACTTCATCGTCAATTGTGGCCTGTAAAATTAATACACAGTATTTTCATTTCAACAAAATACAAGAGACCATATAAAAATATTTTCCAATTTGGAATCAGAAACATGATAGCTGGATTATTTTTCTTTGTATAAAAAGAAACAAAATAACACACTAAAGTTTGTTAAGCCTCCTAACAACAACAACAAAAAATACATATCAGTTTAAGGAATGCAGTGAGAGTCAGCTTCCCTTTTTGTCCAGGCTCATGGATGGTGAGCTTGTGCTTTGATCCTAACAAAGATAAATGCACAAAAGTGGAGGAAGGTCAGTGCCTGAAACCTGAACTATGTCGTATCTCTAATAAGATTAATTTTACAGTAGTGCTTTGAAGAGTGGTGGATCGGGTTACTGATTTTTCTCTCTCTCTCTCTTCCTTTTCAGGCCACTGCTGGAGATGAATTCCAGAAGCACCACTTTCGTCTTGAGTGATGCTTGTTTAGTGCAATATCTTCCTTCTCTCGTTCCCTTTTCACACGCTGATAGTGATCTTCTTCCTTCAGGTACCACACAGGTGGCCAGCGGTGCCGCTCGAAGTATTCCTGGTTGTCTAGTGAAGGAAAGATGCAGACATAAGACCCGTGGTTCATTGATTCTTTCTATGTGCTAGGCCTTGTGCTTAAAGCTTCTTGAATATCCTCTCAAAAACGTGATGTGGCAGGGACTGTGATTAGGGCCCTTTGCAAAAGGTGACACTAAAATTTTGAGAGAAAGAATCTCTTGCCTGTAGCCACGCAGCTGTACACAAAGAACCTGAACCCAGGACCACCTGACTTCAGAGTCTAAGCCTGCCCCTGAACTTGCCTCCCTAAACAAGGGAAAGCCCACCACCTCTGCACTCTCTGCAACAGGGCACCCTGGACTCCAGCCCACCCAACTCCCCTAAGCATCAAGTTCTCCAAAGAGAATTCCCAGCATTAATTTCCTTATGCCATCCCACATGACTGTGTGACCACCAGCCAGTCTCAAGGAATTATCCATGCGCTGCCTGCTGACTGTGTTCCTTTCCAGGGACACGGAAGATAAAAGCTTCAGTCAGAGGTGAGGGGAGCTGGATGAATGGGTCCTCGCACAGTCTCACCTGCAGATTTTGATTTGATTTCCTTGCGGAACTTGGAGCAAACACTGTTGTAGTTGGTGCAGATGTGGTGCAAACACCAGGCGGCCAACTGGTGGGCATTGTGAAACTGCAGAAGAGTGAGCAAAAGGAGGGTAAGACTATTTTCTAAAGAGGGACTACAGAGAAACTGAGGGAGCCATGGTAAGAGCGAAAAGAAATTAAGGGCTTATATAACCAATTCGGTAAACCTCTTGTTTTGACTTTAACCATGGCTCCATGCCAGCCAATGTAGTGTTGGGCACACCCCTCCCTTTCCTGTCCTAGGTGCACCAAAAATAATTGCTGTATCAAATCACGAGTTTAAAGTATGCCTCACCTTCCCACTCTCCCCTGCCACCTGCCCCTCTAGTGCTAAGCAACCGTGGCCTCTGGAAGGCACCAGCCCACAGCAGAAAGCAGCGATGTCATCTCTGTTTAAGGAAGCCTCGGCAATGGAATACTTCGTGTCGCATGTCAGAGCTCAGCTTGCCTGGACCAAGATCCGAAAGAGGAGACTGCAGAATGTGTGACTGTCCTATACCTGTCCTTCGGTTACGTAAGAGCAGGCGGTATGGGCAGGGTAGAGAGCTCCAAATGCTCCACCCTTCCTTTCTGAGCAATGCTCAGGAAGGTGGCAGCTGAGGTAGCTGTGACTGAAAAAGACTTGACTCAAAAATCGACTGTCAACTCCCCCATTCCCTCCCCAGACCTGGTGGGCCTGCTGCTGTCCCTCGCTCTTTCTGTCTGTGCCCTTCTCTGACATCCCTTCCACTGTCTGTCACTCTTGATGTGTCTTTGGTCAGGTGGAACCCCACAACCTATAGCATGCTTCCTCTGTGGCCCCATATCTCCACCGTGAGACCAACAGAAAAGCCAGAGGCCTCAGAAACCCACTCAAGAGACTTGCTGAAAAATCACAACCCAAACATCAGAGACAGTTTTAGCTGGTGCTTCCAACCTCTCCTGCTGTTAGATTTCTTTCTGAAAACAAGACTGGCGCAGTGTTCTGCCGGGTGGGCTTGTTCCAGCTTAAGAGAGCCGACTGTGTGCATTTCTTCCCTACTTTGAGTTTAGTGACTTCATAGGTTGTAATCAGCCATGATGGGATTATTTATACCATAGAAATTGGCAAATGCAACAGATTAGAGTCCCACTTGCCCCCATGCTGACTGTTAAAGACTTACGAGCACATCATTGGGTTAGGGTCTAATGAATGCACTAAGACATGGGAGAATCCATTCTAAGCTCTTCCTGCCAAGGCTTGTCAGGGCTTAGCAATTATCATATTATTTCCTTGAAGTGGGTGTGTGTGTGGGGGGGTGGGTAGCGTGGGAACACAGTGCCGCAAACAGACACACCTGCAAATCATTCCCTCAAGTGAATGTTCTTGATATGAAATTCTGGATCATTGCATTTTTCTCTAGGAGGAATACTTCCTGGAGAGAGTACAAGATATAAACCATCCCCTAGAACTGTTTCAAAAGACCCCAAATTCTAAGTGCGGACAATCAGTTTTGATGGGCACTTGCTGATTTGACTGCATTAGATGTCTGTTCTCAGTTTCACTGTAATCCCTAATTGGATTTTAATAATTTGTATCTATGTCTGTTTCCCTTACTTGCCTATGATTGCCCTAGGGCAGAGGGTCTACTTTTTATATGTACATGTCCTTTTCCTAGGGTGGTGCCTGGTATTTGGGGAGAAAAATATCTAATATTTGTTGAATGCTAAGTCAAAATGAACAGGTCACTGTAAAGTTCCATTCTGCCTTTTCCCCTTATGCACCTGAACCATCTCCTTTGGCCACAGTAGGAAGGGCCTGAGCAGCACCTGCTAGGTGCCACCTCCTCTCCCTTGATTGACAAATGCTGATTTAAATGGACTGACCTAAGACTTAGTAAGCCGTTGTCTTAACCAAAAGAGGGAGAACAGGAAGCCAAACCGAACAGGCTGAAGAAAAGACTGAGGAATTTATTCTTAGTTCCCTCAGAGTGTAAATTCATTGTTAATCAGCCTATGCCAGGGACTAGATAATGTTGCAGATGTGCCTGGCATTCTAAGAGGGCTTACACTCTTCAGTGTTCGCTCTTGAACATTCTCTCCCACATGATTCTCAAAATAATCTGGAAGGTTGGTAGGATGCAAATTGTCATCCCATTTCCTGTGGATGAGGAAAACGAGGCAGAGTTTTGCTTGTGCTTTGAGGAGGTTACTCCAGGGTGAGGCTGAAGCTGAATCTTGGACCTTCTCTGCAAGAAGAGTGAAAGTCTGCATTGGGATTACGTTATTACAATCTCAATACTAGCAACTACTGACTTTAGAAAACTCCAGAACAGCTGCAGTGAGATGTTCATTAACAGTGGGGCATTACAGGGCTTCATGGAATTCTAGAAACTATTCTTGGCCAAATATGTATCTAAGAATTCAAAGAAGGAGGAGAGACAAAACCTCCCCCTATCGTGCCCCAAAGTGGTTCTCCCACTTATGAAGCTGGTGCCTTAGGGGACAATGGGACTGGCGTGGGGGTGGGGTCCTTGTTGTTTTATTCAAATGAAGCCCAGTAAGCTGAATGGTACTTGAAAGGTAAAACTCTCAGATCTTCTTAGTGTACACAGGGGGCCTCTGTGACTCAGTGGTGACATCTTTATTTAGACAGATGCAACAGTGGAATGTTTTATCAGCATTAAGCGAACTGATTGAACACATTTAAAAGGTGAAACGCAATCTGTTACAAACCTGGGCCAGTTCCAAGTAAGAGAGCACTTCTCCGTCAATGCCCACGCCACTCATTGCGGCCTTGGTCAGCTCCTGAACAGCATGCTGTTCTGGGGAAGAAAGAAGGGACCAGAGAACGTTAAACCACGCCCTGCAAGCCAGATAGTTTGCCTAGAGGGTTGGTCTGGGACCACTTAAGAAGGGAAGAAATGTGGGACACAGATCTGGGCAGCCATCTGAATTGAATCTGGAAGATGCTCTGGTGTGTAGTCTCTCACTACGTGGGGTTCTGGTCCCAGCGACTTCACCCACATCTCTGGGGACTCTTGTTCATGCGTCTGAAATAGCCAGAATCCTCCAGACCTGTAGTGTTCTGTGCAGGATGGTAAGGATGGTAGCTCCTGGTCACATGAGACTATTTAAACTTAAAGTATTTAAAATTAAATAAAATTAAAAGTTCAGCTCTTCATTCACACTAGCTACAGTAAATGCTCAACAGCCACATATGGCCACTGTTTGGACTATCCATATATGAAATGTTTCCATCACTGCAGAACGTTCCACTGGACAGAATGGCTCTAAACAGTCTAGCACCTTCTTAAAGCCCTCTAGACTTTAGACACGTTCCTGTTTGACAGTTTCGCCACTCACATCACCGCAATCCTTGATCCCCCCGACAGTGGAGCGACTGAATGACAGAGGAATTAGTCTATTTGAGGAATTAAAAATGTGGCTATGTACATCTGTCTCAACAGCTACAGATGGATGACACATTGTTCAGCCTCTTGGATTCTAAAGACTGGGGAGACCTGCAGTCAGAAGTAACAAAATGCAGCAGGGAGAGCCGTTTCTGCTTGGGAGCTTGAGTTTGAGGCATCCAAGCTGAATTTAAATTGTGGCCTGACGCTAGGCTATCTCTGGGCTTTGAAAGGGCTATCATCCACCTCCGAGACTGATGTATGAGGGTAGAGCCTTGGCTCAGCATTTCTAGGTCTGTGACATTGATGTCATCTGTAGCATTGCATTTGTTCTTCTAATCCAGAACATTGTCCAAATCATGCTTACTTTCTGCTCTAGGGCTGCATGCTTGTTGGTCAGCATGCCTGTATCTGATCAATACAGTATTGGGAATGGAATGATTTCTTTGGCACCAACTTCCTCACCTGGATTGGACTATTTGGAACTAAAATTTCCAGAGAAATCATTTGGGCTTTGTCATTTTAAGTAACTGCAACATTTCTTGACATTTATTTAACTCTGGCTCACAAAGCATTGCCATTCTAGAAACTGATTTTTAAACACTGTGTTCTAAATACTCTACACTAGAAAGTACATAGCAAATACTATAAAGGATTAAAGGAATCATCCTGGGAAGCTGTATATTAAATAATCATAACAGTAATGACAACATTTAATAGCTACATTAAATGTTCATAGAAGCCTAGAGTTCACAAAAGAAGCTTTATTTGGGTCAGTTTAAAAAAAAAAACTTTCATGGAAAAATCAATCCCATGTTTTCATTGCCAGACTTAATATTTAAGCAAAAATGATACTCGTCTGAGACTGATCACAAACCTTATTCAGCAGATTTGGCTCCAAATTACTTTTGACAATTTCAAAAAATAAAAAAATAAAAATTTATCCTCAGGACAGTGTTATAAAACCTGTGGATAGTTAAATGGCTTGGAACTTATGCTTCTGAAAAAAGTAATTGCCCACTGAAGCCTCCCAGAGTGAGTATTTTAAACAACTAGTGCACTCCTTTGGATCTATTGGGTAATATACGCAATATTTTAAAACCAGCTTTTTAAAATAAATCTGATATCGATGCCTCAACTCGTTCTTCTATCCAACTGGGGAGGAAGTAGGGCAAAGAGAGGACTTTGATCTCCAGGTCGTTGTGTGTGGCAGAAACCTGGAGGACAGAGAAATTAATCTTTTTTTTTTTTTTCTAAAGACTTTGCCAGAAAGTCAAGTGCAGATAGGACTGGTTGGTTTGTTCATACATTCATCGTCATTCATTCAATTGTTCAGCAAATATGTATCAAAAGCTAATATGCTCAGGCACTCAGAAGAAAGGACAGTGAACAAGACAGTCTTTTATCTCTGCTTTGATGGTTAGTAGGAATCAACTAAACATAGTGATAAACACCCAGCAATCCGGCTGAAGATCTGAATTCAAGAGAAAGGCATTTAAGTGCATATATCCTATAGAGCCTGCTTCAGCTTTCCAACTGAACAAATCTAGAAATGATACATAAGATTTTGTGAAGTTAAGCCAAGTTTCCTTTTTTTGTCTTTCTCCCGAAATGAACTTGACAATGTCAGAACATTTTCTAAAATAGCTTTAAGAAAACCACTTACATAATGCTACTATGCGCCAGACGCTGTTCTAAGGACTTTATATTTTAACTCATTTAATCTTCATCACAGCTCTATGGCTGAATAATATTAGCCCCATTTTAAAGAGAGAGAAAGATGAGACACAGAGCTAAGGTTACAGGACAAATTCAGCTGGTCAGTAAATGGTGGAGCCAGGGTTTGATCTTAGGCAATCTGGCTCTGTCATCTGTGCTCCTAAATAGGGCATCTACTGCCTTCTTCTTAAAGACTGTGTCTGGGCACTTACTATGGAGATAATGTTGATAAAATAGTTTTGTTTCAAACTCAGGGTGCACAAATGACTCAGCACGCATAGAGCATGTGCCTCAAGGGCAGGGGTCATGCATTACTCACCTTCATGGTTGTATCACTTAATGGGGCCCACCACAGAGGGGGTGCTTAAGAAATATTTGTTGAATTGAATTGGGCTGTCTGATACAATCTGATTAGTTCATATCATTCTATACAAGACAGTCCTATTTGGGGTGATAAAAAGTCCATTTTTATTCCCTGGAAGTCTTATTTTTATTTAAATGTGATTTTGATAAATATGACAGACACTGCACGGCCCTGAGTTATCAGCCTTACCTGCAAGTGCAACCAAGTGTGGCAGGCAAAATCTGTTTGCCAAGGCAATTAATTCCAGCGGGTCCAGGTCCAAGTTAGGAGACAACTGCTTGGTATAGAGATAATCCAATACTGCTTGCATTGATATCTTGTTTATGTGCGGGAGATACACCTGAAATGTTAAACAAAAAGCTAAATTCTGTCGCAGAAAGCAGGGAGTGGGCACATTTTCAGGCAATGCTGCTTATAAATATCCTAACTACGTGATTTGCGATTGGTGAGTCTTGGACACCTGCTTTAAGGTTGTGCATAGGAATCCTTCTGTATTTATGACTCTAAATATAATGCTTTGATTTGTAGATGATAAAAGAGTGGAGCTGCCTGACACAGCCTGATGTGGAATTTTTAAATAACTATTTGGACTTATAAATCAGACAAATGGGCTGGAAATGTATGATGACATTAGGGGCCCTCATGCCGAGCACCTTATAATACTCTATTGTGGGGAAAGAAATCTCCTAGCAACATGACAGGTGTTGGGGGGAGCTGCAAACCACACTGTTTCTGACACGGTGGAGCCTAGCTCTCCAAGATGTCAAAACAGGGGAGGAGCCGCCACCCTAGCTGCCACAGTGACCGGCTTGATTTCCACATTCTGTTGGCATATGCACAATACATTACAACCTACTACACAATGTATACACTTCATTGTTTTTTCCTACAACCACATGGATTCAGAACTACTGAAACATTAACAGTTATCAGTAGATTCAGAGAGTCCAAAGGAGTCCTTGCTTGGGACTTCCAGGGGAGTATGACTGGGCACAGGGGAACTGTCCTCTGTAGGATTCCCACAGTTTCCCTCCTGAGTGCCTGTAGTTGTCCATATAAATGCATGCTAGAGTTTGCTAGAGAGCCAGGGACTGCCTAGGAGGTGGAGTGCTGGATAGACGGACATGGATCTACGGAGATGTACACTGTGTACAGTTACTCTTTATTTTAGGTCTCTCACTCCATGAGACAGGCCCTGGAGTAGTTCAGAAGGGTACCACTTGATTTACTATTAGAATGTTGACAATTATAAACATTAACCTTAATTGAAGGCATCCTATGCACCAGGCACTGCACCAAGCTTTCCACGCACATTCTTTACTCTGATGCTTAGATCTACCCTAGAGAGAAGAGACTTACTTTTGCCATTTTACAGAAAAGGCAATGGAGGTTCAAGGAGATTAATTTAAATCTTGTGTCCAAGGTCACAAAGCTAGGAAATAGTGCCTGGGATTTAAACCCAGGGAGTATGACATGGAAGTATATGTTCAGAATTGCTGTGTGGTGCTGGAAACCTTGAATGCCAAAGAAGCAAAGGTTTGAGTTACAGAACAATGAAGCATCACATTTTATTAATGGTTTTTGAGAATTCTACTTCAAAAAATGAACAATTATGAACTTCTTTTTCTTTCTTTTTTATTTTAATTTTTTGAGACAGGGTCTAACTCTGTTTCCCAGGGTGGACTGCAGTGGCTTGATGATAGGCTGGGCCTGGGTCCAAGCAATCCTTCTACCTCCACCTCCCTAGTAGCTGGGACTACAGGCAGTGCCTCCATGCTGGCTAATTTATTTTATTTTATTAAATTTTTTTTTGTGTAGAGACAGAGGTCTTGCTATGCTGCCCAGACTGGTCTCAAACTCCTGGCCTCAAGTGATCCTCCTGCCTTGGCTTCCCAAAGTGCTGGGATTAAAGGCATGAGTCACTGTGCCTGGCCAGTTATGAACTTTTTAATTCTAGTACTTATAAACCTCTATACAACATATAAAGATATACATCTTTATAACATGATTACATCTATATATTTTATATGATTGCACCTCTCTCTTCATATACATGCACGTGTGCACACGCATGCACACATACACATACACACTCAGGCACATGCACAGAGTCAGCCCTCTATATCTGTGGGTTCCACATCTGTGGATTCAACCAACTGTAGATCAAAAATACTTGAAAAAAAAGGCATGACTGCTTCTGTACTGAACATGTATAGAGTTTTTTCTTGTCATTATTCCCTAAACAATACAGTAAAACAACTACTTACATACCATTTGCATTGTATTAGGTATTAGAAATACTCCAGAGATAATTTAAAGTATACAGGAGGATGTATGCAGCAGATCTATGCAAATACAATGCCACTTTATATGAGGAACTTGAGCATTCATGGATTTGGGTGTCTGAGTGGAGGGTGGGGTCCTGGAACCACCAATCCCTCACAGATACTGAGGGATATGTGTGTGTGTGTGTGTGTGTGTGTGTGTGTGTGTGTGTGTGTGTGAGAGAGAGAGAGAGAGAGACAGAGAGAGACAGAGAGAGAGAGAATATGTATGTATATGTATAATGGCACATTCTTTAAGATGCTTATGTCTTATGCATTCTGGCAGTATGGGTCCAGGATTGTTTAAGCTATAGAAACCTTCTTTATTATTCTCCTGTGCAGCCACCAGCCACCTTAAAGAGGGAATATCCTTTAAGACAGGTAGAACTGTCCCTTAACGTATCATAAGGAAGGTTTAGAAAAATTCCTAGAAATATTAAGAAATGTATTCTCCCCTTTCAGACATGGTTGGTAAAAACAACAATTATGATTCCATAAATAAGTTGCATAAGCCATTACCATAAATGATTTGACAAGCATGATCATTTCAGTTTTCCAGCACAATCTCTACAACAAATAAAACTCAATGAGTTGAAACTATTACTAGTATTATTTTAAAATAAAGTAGCTGTTGTGCATGCTGGATCATCTGCAATGTACAGATGTTGGAATGTTATTCTTTCCTTTAACCAGCTGTATCTACATATGAATAATTAATTATTCAACTAAATTGAGCACCGGTTACACTGTGTGTATGCTTGCATACATATATGTTTATATACATATCCATTTATCTTACACAAATAATGGATTTATTTACAGATATTCACACAAATTGGTTTCTGTGTGTATGAACATGTAATATCTCATTTCTTTTTTTTTTTTTGAGACAGAGTCTTGCTGTGTCACCAGGCTGGAGTGCAGTGGCGCAATCTTGGCTCACTGCAAACTCCGCCTCCTGGGTTCAAGCAATTTTTCCGCCTCAGCCTCCCAAGTAGCTGGGACCACAGGCACGTGCCACCACACCCGGCTAATTTTTGTATTTTTAGTAGAGATGGAGTTTCACCATGTTGGCCAGGATGGTCTCAATCTCTTGACCTCGTGATCCGCCCACCTCGACCTCCCAGAGTGCTGGGATTATAGGCGTGAGCCACCTTGCCTGGCCAATATCTCATTTCTTTGATGAAATTATCTTTGGATTAGTCATACGGTTTGGCTGTGTCCCCACCCAAATCTCATCTTGAATTATAGCTCCCATAATTCCCATGTGTTGTGGGAGGGACCTGGCGGGAGATAACTGAATTATCGGGGCAGTTCTCCCCAGATTGTTCTCATGGTAGTGAATAAGTCTCACTAGATCTGATGAGTTTATAAAGGATTTCCCCTTTCACTTGGCTTTCATTCTCTCTCTTGCCTGCTGCCACATATGATGTGACTTTTTGTCTTCCACCATGATTGTGAGGCCTCCCTAGCCATGTGGAACTGTCAATCCATTAAACCTTTCTCTTTTCTTTCTTTCTTTATTTTTTTTGAGACAGAGTCTCGCACTGTCGCCCAAGCTGTAGTGCAGTGACACAATCTTGACTCACTGCAATCTCCACCTCCTGTGTTCAAGCAATTCTCCTGTCTCAGCCTCCTGAGTAGCTAGGACTATAGGTGTGTGTTCCATGCCCAGCTAATTTTTTGTATTTTTAGTAGAGACGGAGTTTCACCATGTTGGCCAGGATCTTGATCTCCTGACCTCGTGATCTGCCCGTCTTGGTCTTTATAAATTATCCTGTCTCTGGTATGTCTTTATCAGCAGCGTGAAAATGGAATAATACAATTAGTATAATTTTCTATATAACTGAAGGTTAAGTTGTGAAACTTTAAAATTTGAACCGTTTCAATAGTGAAAGTACCCACATTTTACAAAGTGCTAGGTGCTCTAAGATGTTAGTAGTTGTTAGTATAAGAAATCCCAGAGCTTCCTGTTAACACCTACTCTCTCAGAGATGGGGATGTCTGGTGCTCCTGAAAACAATACCTCTAGTGATAGTGCAAGAGCCTGGGGCAGGCCCAGGGATATATCACTAAAGTGCTGTGACCTTTGATAAATCACTCACCCTCAGTCTTGGCATCTGTTATATGGGAGGAATTTGGAATAGATGCTATTTAAAGTTTTTTCTTCTTCATGGTAACTCTGGGTTTTGAAGATCGTCAGATTACCTTAGCATTTTTCTGGCAAGAGTGTATTCTAAGTCATTGCTTAAAGAAGAAGTAGCAAAATGAACATCTTAAATAAAAAGAAGCTATTTCTGGCTGCAGCAGATGACGGATTCCAGGGAGCAGCCCTGCCCAAATACTCTCAATGCCCTCGAAGTGTTCTGATGTTTGTCATCACCCATGACCTGCTATCTTCTTTTTGTTGGATATAACGTTAACATTTTTTGAAGTGATGACTCTTTTTGGCAAGTAACATTAGGGACCCTTAGAAAAAAACATCAAATTAGAATAAACTAAGAACACTTTCAGAACATGCATTTTTTTCCCCCTCATGGCTAATTTTTAAAAAAAGCTTGTTTCTGTGATTTCAACATTTATAATTAACTGCATGACAACAGAAAGACCTTTATTTATAGCACTTTAAAAATAATATTAGCAAAGCTTCATAAATAATGGAATAAAAAAATTTGCATCCTGCCTGCTGGAGATATATATATATATATATATATATATATATATTTTAAGAGTGATCAGAGAGAATATAATGCTACCCTAAACAATGTTCTATCTTCCAGTTTATTTGGTTTAAAATTTTAATTGTGAAGATTAGCTGAGACTATTAGGCTTATAATTAGAGACAGTCTCATAGAGAATGAGAAAGTATTCTGGATCCAAAGCATTGCTTACTACAAGCCAGGCATGCATTTTTAATGAACCACTTGCTGAGTACCTCTGGGGAGAGAATTATGCTTACTGCGACATTAAAAGTAATGAGAAAAAATATAAGTAAGATACAATGTTTTCCTGAATATTAAATGACAAAAAGTTAAATTAAAATCAATGGGCATAGGCATATTTTATTCTTTTCTGGACATGCACATTAATTCTATTCTCCAAAAAAGGCTGAGTTTCATGGCGGGGGTGGGGGCAGTATGTGGGGTATCAGATTTTCAGATTTTCTCAAGATGATAGAAAGTTAAAAAGTGGCCTACAAAGGCCAAATCCCAAGTGTGAACATACACCTATGTTAATCATGGAGCATTAACTGAGTTCCTTTCCCCTTCAACTATAACCACCTGTATTATACTTTCCCTAGTTTAGAAAGGGAACTGGGGGCTTTTAACTTAGAGCTTTCCAGGGACAATTACCTTTAACCCTGTATGGAAAGACTTTAACAAGAAAACTCTAGCATAATAGTCACTGACATGCATGGAACATTTGTATGTTCTAAGCAGCAAATTCAATGCTTCTCACGCCTTCTCTGCCCTTTAATGAAGGTTCTCTTGTTATCCTCATTTTACAGATGAGGATAAACAGGTTTAGAGTGAGCCACTTGGCCAAGGTTGAGCTGAGCCTATATTATACTTTACACAGGAAATAAAGAGAAGGGATGAGAAGGGGCAGAAATGTCAACAGGTCATTGCATTCTTAATATGCTGGCTAAATGAACTGTGGCATAGGCCTTCAGTTGGTTGCTTGGTTCCACGATCTTTGTCTTTTGAGCTGGTCTGAATCTATACAAACCTATTAGCCTTCACTCCAGTTCTGAGTGGTGAGGGACCTCATCTCCACAGCGGAGTGTGCTAAATGGGTGGCCTCTTCCAGGAGAGGCTATGAAACAAGCATATACATGTGCATTCATATTTGCTGCCAAGTTTTTGTTTTGGTCACCTCTACTGCACATTTTAATCTGGAGACGATTACAGTCCATTCTTGGAAGGGATAAAGGGGATTAGCATTCGTGAGGTCAGCTCTGACAGTGTCCCTTTGTGCCTGTGTTCCTGACCTCGATCAACTTCTCCCTGCTCTGTGAATAGCAGGCCCTCTGCTGCACAATCAGCGTGAGCTGGACAAAGCAGGGGAGCAAGACTCACAGCTCTTTATCTCCGGAGATTGCTAAAGTCAGTCAAATACCAACTGGATTAGGTTTTACAAATTGGTGGCTACCCAGCTTTTTTCTGGATGCAAGAGGGAAAGAATACCATTACTACCAACAATATCAAAATAAGTCCGCAGCAGCTACCATTGATTTAATGCTTCTGAAGCGCTTTGCAAGTAATGACTCTCATACCCCACAACCACAATATGGGTTACGCCTGTGTTTTCCAGATGGGGAGACTAGAACCAACAAAGGTTAAGTCACTTGCCCAAGTCACTGGTAAGTGGAGGAGTTGTGATTTGAGTCCCACAGTCCTGTAACTGTGCAGATTCCCCTGTACTGTAATTGTCTTAGTAACTATGCTCCAAAACACCTTTGACCCAAGCACAGAAGAGACTTTCATTAGTTACAGGTGAGAGTCTCCTGGTTTAGAAAGGCTAGTAGACACCATAAGAGGTCATCAGGATAACTCTAATATCTTTTCCCTAGTCCTTTGCTGGGTGGTTTAGGAGCAGCTGCACCTTGTTCTGGATACAGGAGAGTGGCCTAGTGATCTTCTTGGCCCCTTCTATCCAAGGCTTGTGATTCCAGGATTCTGTTTCCCTACTTGGGGATGCAAATGCAGGCTCCTGGATCACAGTGGGACTGCTCGAATTTCTTGTGCTAGTGCTTCATTTGAAAAGTTAGCTATTGTTTTTGGCATTTCTTGGAAAAGTTTGGAAAGATGCTGAGACAAGCAAAACAAGCCTCTTAGGACAATAAAATGGATGGGTGTACCCAGGTTTTTATTTTTTAAAAAAGATGTTAAAAATACTTGCAAAACTCCACAAAAATGCTTGCTCACTCCTAAAGTTAGAAGTGCTTAAATTGAATGTTTTCCTTTTTTAACAGTCTGTGAAAAGACAAAGAACCTCCACTCCCGTGTTAACTGCAGCACCATTCACAATAGCCAAGATACGGAGTCTGCCCAAGTGCCCATCAACGGACGGATGGATAAGAAAGTGTGGCACATATACACAATGGAATATTATACAGCCCTAAAAAGAGGAAAATGCTGTCATTCAAGACAACATGGATGAACCTAAAGCACATTATGTTAAGTGAAATAAGCCAGGTACAGAGAGACAAATAGCACAGTATTTCACTTATGTGTGAAATCTAAAAATGTTTAAATCCAAAGTAAAGAGTAGTGAGTAGAACAGTGATTACCAGAGGCTGGGGTTAGGGGGTGGATGGGGAAAGGAAAGCCATCTGTCAATGGGTACAAAGTTTCAGTTAGATAGGAGGAATAAGTTCTGTTGTTTTCTTTGTGTGTGTGTCTGCGACAGCTATCTCCTGGGGTGGAGTACAGTGGCACAATCATAGTTCGCTGTAGCTTCCAACTCCTTGGGCTCAAGTGTTCTTCTCACTTCAGTCTCCCAAGTACCTAGGACCACAGTTGCATATAGTCTAATGCACCTGTATTTTTTCTGTGGCGTTCTATTGCACAGGATGGTGACAATGGTGAACAATAATGTATATTTCAAAATAGCTAACAGAGGATTTTACATGTTCTCATTACAAAAAAATGGTAAAGATCTGAGGTGATGGATAGGCTAATTAGCCCGATTTGATCATTCCACAATATACATATATCAAAACATCATGTACTCCATGACTATATACAATTATTATTAGTGAGTTAAAACTAAAACAAGAAAGAAAAGACATAGGATCTCCAAGATGCTGTTTGCGCTGCTCTAAGCATATCCCCCTTCTAGAGATAGAGCCAGTGGCTGACAAGTGACACAGCTACTTCCACTAGACCTAAGTACCTCAAGAGGTGTGTTCAGGGGAGCAAACGTTTGCTCCACTACTGCCTCCCTAAAGTTAACAGACCTTCATATCCCCTCAACACAGGCCAAGTCAGGGCAGAGCCTCAGATAGTATTGTAGCTCATGGTAACCTCAAGGACACTCTAGCGCATCCCTCGGCTTGCAGATGAGGAGGTGGGGGCACAAGAATGTGACTTCTTAAGGTCCCTTGTCTGGTTAGGGGCAGAGCTGAGCCCAGGACTCAGGTGGCTGAAGAACTCTTTTCACTTTCTGAGCTACTGGGAGACATGCTCCTCTCGTACTTGATTTTGATAGTACCGTGTCTGTGACATTTGCCAAGAGGTACAGCTGATCATGTCTTCATGGATGAGGATGGCTCTGAGGATGAAAGGATATATGGCATGTAAAGCACCCAGGGGCCCCCACACAAGTGACCAATAAACAATAGCTCCTCAGAACTGCAGAGCTAAGAAAAAGGTGACCGAACACCTAAGCACTGCTGAGGAGCTATTTCCTGGAGCTAGTTGAAGGATTAAAGTCATCTGGCCGTTTACCCACTTTATATAAATACACAGACACATGCACATTCATAAAGACACCACTATGCTTTTGGGAAGGCACGTACCTCACTGTTGGCACTTTCCACAAATGACCCCCCGAACATGGCTGCCATCCACTCACAGCTACAGATCAGCAGCGGCTTGTGGGCACTGATGGCTCCATCGTCCAATTTAAATATCACATCTGCCAAGAGATTGAGGAAACACAACCATGAGCCAGCTCCACCGAGAGCTTCAACCAAGGCCTCTGCTCTCGAATCCACCCACCTGTGTTTCTTTTACTCTCTCCTGAATGCCTTTACTTATTGATTTTATGTCAGCTGCCATCTTTGGGCCTTGGCACATCCAGCTCCCACCTAAGGGAGCATGCATTTAACATCGTCACATATAAAGTCAGGACAAAAACTTTCTGAACCAGAAAGCAACAGTAAAGAGGGAATATTTCTTCCTCCTTGCTATGCAAAACTTTAAGCATATAAAACAGTGGAAAGAACAGTAGGATGATCACTCATTTATATCCCTTGTTAACATTTTGGCATGTTTGTTCGATGTATATTTTAACTTATAACATTTTACTTATTAATACTCAGAACAGTCTCCTAAATAACCATACCATGATTATACCTAAGAAAAATAAAAATAATTCCCTACTCTCATCCACTATATAGTTCATATTCAAATTTCTCCAATTATTCCTAAATTGTATTTCACAGCTTAAAAAAAAAAAAAGAAATAGAATCCAATTGAGACTCCCAGCTTGTATTCGATTACTATGCCTCTCCAGTAAGGAGGGGGTGATTTAATCAACTCCACCTAAGGCTCACTGTTTAAGTTGCTGTAGGTTTGTAACATATTCTTTTCATGAATTTTCAAGACTACTTCTGTACCACAATGGCCAGTGTTTGAAGTAAATACCACTCATAAGCTTTAAAATGAATGAACTGAGTCTTTAATAACCACTTGCTAAATATGTAGTGCCCTGGCAGGGATTATAAAAGATAAAGACAAAGATAAAGGTATCCACATAAATAGAAGTCAGGAAGTCAGCTTTATACAATGAAATACACACACCCACACACCTACCCAGAGGACAATTTCAGAACAAAAACAGTCCAAATGTAAGACAGTACAAGCATGAGTCAATAACCCATATTGGATGCAGGCCACCAGTGTGCTTAACAATTACGGAAGGGTACTGTGGGCAGCATAAGGTGTAGTTATCAAAGGCAATGGAGGGGCAAGAAAACTACAGAAGTGCAGGGCCAAGGAGCATGAGGACAGAAAAGGAAAGGGGATGGGAACAGGTGAGACGCCTTTTGTAGGAAGGTGGAGGGCCACCAAAATTGCCTCAAGGACTTTAGTGGTCTAAGGACTCGAGATCACTGCTTTTTGTCATGGATCAGTGCTGAAGGGTCAGCGGAGAATAGAATTGGTTAGAGAATGGATTCTGAAGGGGAATTGTATGCAATGAGCCCAGTGGAGATCGGTTCAGAGGTCCCTGATCCAGTCTTGAGGAGCAGTGGTTTATGGAACAGGTTTTGATACTGACAAAACGTGGGTTCAAATCCTGGCTTTTCCATTTATTGCCGGTGTGATCATGTGCAAATTACCTAACCTCTCTGTCCTTTGGTTTCCCCATCTGCAAAATGGAGACAATCATATTTAACCCTTAAGTCTGATGAGAATTAAGTTAATGCCTGTAGCTTAGAAAGGTATATAGGAAAAATAAGCACTTATAAACGTTAGCTATGGTCATGTCTGGCTAATGTTCAGTGAAACGCAAAGGTATTAATGGCTCTGCCCCGCGGCACACTCACCTGAGAACGTCCCCTTGCTGAGACACTCTTTTATTCGGTTGGCTTTTCTGACGTGAAAGGCTTTTGTAATCTCCTGGTTCATGAAGGCTTCCTTGTTCATGATGTTTTCCACCATCATCCTCAAATCAAACATCTCTAGGACCTCTGCAATCTGAGCCAGGCCCATCAAGTCCTTTTCCTTTTCATCCAGTTGTCCTGTATAAAGAAACTGGAGCAGGGTCCGAAAAGGGCCTGGCTGGACTGAAGAGTCCATCCTGACCACAGTCACGGGGCCCACCCGCTTTGAAATGGGGTTGACTTGCATTTCCCTGTGCATGCCAACAAACCCCTTACTCCAGCCAGCCAAAGTCTGCGTCTCGGAAGCTGCATCCTCAGCTTCCAGCCCCAGAGCCTCCACCAGGCTCTTGTTTGAAGACTTCCACTGCTCTGTCTGAGGTGTCCTAGGCGGGCCTTCCTCCCTTTCCTCCTCTGGGTCAACACTCAAAATCTGCCCCTGGAAATCTCTGCTCTGCTTCTCTTTCTCACAATCTCCTTCACTTGAACCCGGGGATTCTTCACATTCCATTAAAAACAGATCATAAAATTTGGAAGAAGAGGTAGCAAGGTAAATTCGATGTGCAAAGATGTGCTCCTGGTCCTGAAGGATGAACAGAACATCGGCACACAGAGGATTGTCCAGTAAACAGGCAGCTTCATTTGTCCCCGTGGAAGGACACTCTGGAATTTTGATGACTGGTGGAGGGGCTTTTGGAGGTAGGAAGGGTGCCTGAAGTAAAGGTTTCTGGACTTTCTTTAAGTGGGATTTCCAGAACTGCAGGTGCCTGCGGGAAATCAGCGCTGCTCGGATTGCATTGTCAAACACATCCTTGATCCCAAACTGGTCAAACACGCTTGTTTCATAGTATGGTATGCCAAGTTCCTTTGCTACCTCTCGGCCTTTTTCTGGGGGCAAAATATCCCCTCTCTTTATGGGCCTGAAATAGAACATTTAAAAAATTATAATCATCCTTATTTTAGGAAAAAAATAGTAACCAGGACCTATCTAATCACCTAATGGAACTATATGCTGAAAACTCGAGTGAGGCTTTTAGTCTCTGGAAAAATCTGCCACCGCCTCAAGTCTTTCAACTATCAAGGCGTTATGATTGCAGGAAGAAATAGTGCTTTCAAATATTTCATAGGTTCAATCCACAGATTTTACACATAATTTGTGAAGCTTATCCATAAATATTCCACATTTTTATGTTATTATTAATGGCATTGTTTTTTAAATTTTATTTTCCAATTGTTGATTTCTTAGTTTATACAAATACAATTGATTTTTGTGTATTGACCTTTTATCCCGTTATTTTGCTAAATTGATATATAAATTCTGATAGCTTTTTTGTAGATCCCTTAGGACATTTCATTTACATGACCATGTTTATATGGTCATGTTATACGACCATGTGCCTGAATAGGGAGTTTTACTTCTTTAAAAAAATCCTCTCAGCAGTAACCACAGTAACTGAAGTGTCATCCCTTTACTGGCTATTTGATATGGGTAAGTTACTAACCTCATTAATTATTGGTTTTCCCATCTGTAAAGCGGGAATAACAATATACTTATATCTTGAAGGACTATTGAAAGGTTTAAATAATTAGTATGACTATGCTAAGCACAGTATTTAGCCACAGTGAGTGCCTGATAAATGTTCGCTCTTATCATCATTATCACCGCCATCTTCATCTCCTTCATCTTCATCAACAGCATCTTATGCTTGAAGTTTACTTTATAACTTTAAAATGCATTCATATACGTTTTTAATTTGAGCCTCACAATAGCCCTGTGAGGTATTATCTTTTGTTGTACATTCTGAGTAAGCTGAGGCAGAAAGGTCAAAAGTTTGTCTGAGGTCACATTTGCAGGCTGCTGAGAGACCTCTATTAAGCAATTAGAGCCCAGACTTTCCCACTCCTAGTTAAGTGATGCACTTCCGACGGCTCTTCTCTATTGGATTTGTGAATCCTCTTTCAAATCATCCCCTTCTCTTTTCCTCCACTCCCTTCTTCAAGCCTTCATCTTTTGCTTGGACTGGTGCATTAGCCCCTTAACTAATCTTTCTTCACACCCGCTCCCCACATTTTATTCCCCAGTCCTCACTGCCGCAAGAAAAGTCCTTACATAACACAACAATGACTCGGCAGCAGTTCTGCTTTAACTTCCTTTGATATCACAAAGTCCCTGGAATAAAGTCCATACCCTTTAGGCTGACACACAAGGACCATTTACAATCTAATCAAACCCTAGAAGGACAAAGTGTTGGAAACTACAGTAGACTCAGTACAGTGCTGGGCATGGTAAAGGCGTAGATGGTTCCAGAACATGGGCAGGAAGTGCTTTGTTGTGACACTCATTACAAACACTTGCTTGATTCAAACACACACTCTTAGGAACTTATCTTCTTATATCAGTATTTAGCCTTCAACACCAAAGGTAATATATGGAACAGGCACTGGTCTTAGGAAGAAAAAGATGATACTGGTGAGAATTTGAATTTGATGACTTAGATGGATAAGAGGGAAAATTAGAGGGTGTTGATTAAGGTGGAAGGGAAGTGCAGGGAAGAAAGTTTAACTTCAAAGTTTGCTCCTGTGGGCGTTGTGTTCCTTGTTTTTAAGACGGGCTTGAAATTTACCAACGGATGAAACTCTTCAAGGCTTAGTTCAAATATCAACTCCTTCACAAAATCTTCTTAGAATTGCTCTGCAGAAGGGACTGTCTCCTCTACTGTTCTCAACAGCTCTGCAGCTTTCCTCCAGTCCACGATTGTGAGGCCTGATTATCACAAACTACTCTTTTATACAGAAAGTTCCCGAGGCAGGGCAGTCTCTCACTCACTGTGGTCTTCCTAACCTCTATGTGGCTTCTAATATTCAATTCCTAGTCCATGCACTTAAGAACAGAAAACTTGTGGAAACTAGATATAAAGTGTTTTTAGAAATTTAATGCAAAACATACCTAGAACACCAGAAACTATGTAAACAAAGTACCATTGACTTTTGCTTGGAGAGCATAAAAAGTTGTGTCAATATAAAATTTTGTAATAAGCCTATTAGGTAAATGTCAAAATAGGGGTTTTTGGTTGCTGTTTGCTTTTTTTTGAGACAGGCTCTGTCACCTGGGCTGGAGTGCAGTGGTGCAGTCATGGCCTACTGCAGCCTTGTCCTCCCAAGTTCAGGCGATCCTCCCACCTCAGCCTCTCAAGTAGCTGGAACCACAGGTGTACACCACCAGACGTGGTTGATGCTTTTAAATTTTTTTAATTTCTATTTTTGTAGAGATGTGGTCTCACTATGTTGCCCAGGCTGGTTTCAAACTCCTAGCCTCAAGTGATCCTCCCATCTTGGTCTCCTGAAATGCTGGGTTTACAGGCGTGAGCCACTGTGCCCAGTCTAAAGGAAGGTATTAATAACAAAATTTTTAGAAAAGAAATGCTCTCCAGCCAAAAAGGTCAACATAAAAAAAATAAATAAATAAAACTTTTTTTATAAAGGGAATTTGAGGGAGCTCACATTTTAAGAAACGTATTTCTCCTTATATGGTTTGGCTGTGTCCCCACCCAAATCTCATCTTGAAATGTAGTTCCCATAATCTCCAAGTGTTATGGGAGGGACCTGGTTAAAGGTAACTGAATCATGGGGGCAGTTTCCCCCATGCTATTCTCATAATAGTGAGTAAGTTCTCATGAGCTTTGATGGTTTTATAAACGGGATCACGCTTTGTTTGGTTCTCATTCTTCTCTCTCCTGCTGCCATGCAAAGAAGGATGTGTCTTCTTCCCTACCGCTGTGATTGTAAGTTTCCTGAGGCCTCCCCAGCCATGCTGAACTGTGAGTCAGTTAAACTTCTTTCCTTTATAAATTACCCAGTCTCAGGTATCTCTTTATTAGCAGCATGAGAATAGACTAATACGCCCCACCAAAGTCAATATCTGCATTTTAAATATAGTGAAACAAATTCTCCTTCAAGTTGTATTTTACATTTGTGACACTTAAAAATATAACCACTAGAAACATTTAAAAAGTTGTATTTGTTTGTTTTACAACTATAGGTCCAAATGATTTTCAAAAAGTGGACACTGTCATCTTGAGAATGAAATACTGTAACAGGTTGGACTGAGGAATACAAGAAGATGAAAACACTTCAATACATGTGTTTGTATAAATCTGATGTTCCCTGGGGCCCAGATGCCTCTAAGTGTTAATTAACTTTATTGTAATAATCATAATTTCAAGTGTGACATTAGTATGAGTAACCAATATTTTGTCTAATACTTTACACTTTTCAAAGTACTTCTATTCACATCCTTTCATAATTAGAGAATTTCCGTCAAGTGCTGGCCAATCATTTGACAAAAATGAGTTCTGACACCAGAGATGAGGGTGCCTATTAGAAGGGCTCAGAGCACACCCCTCATGATTCATGGGCTGACTTAAAGCCCAAGGCTGATTGATGAGACCCAGGAGCACTGAAGAGCAGAACGCCAGGCTACACAGACACCTGCTGCCTATAAATCTGAACTTGGCCAGAACAGGGAAACACTGAGTCCCTTGGCTTACCTTGCTAACGGGCGCCTAGCTCGATTAACAGCTTCCAGGTCAGCATAGCGGAGATCGAGCTGGCACCCAACGAGGACAACGGGTGTGCGAGGGCAAAAGTGCTTGATTTCTGGATACCACATGGTTTTCACATGATTTAGGGAATTGGGATTAGCAATCGAAAAACAGAGGACCACAACATCGGACCTAAAAGGAAATCACAAAAGAAGCTTTTATTATCTTTTAACATTTTGTTTTTTCTTTTACCCTTATGGTTCTTCCCAAACCCCATCCTTCTAATGCCATCTCATGTCACAATTAAAAAAAAAAAAGACCAGATATTAAAACACATCTTGGAGTCATGCAAACAGCCTGATAAGCCCCCACATTCCAGCACCAACACAGCCTAACAGTTCATTTCCGTAACGCACTGCGGAATGCTGATGCATTGACGTTTCCAATGAAGTTATTTTATGGTAGAGATGGTTATCCAAACTTGCCTCAGTCCTAGAACCACAACATGCTGAACTATTTCTCTTCATCACAAGAAATAGTTTCAAGAGAAAAGAAAATAATACAAACTACCTTTTACCAGTTTAAACAACATAAAGGTGATGATGACTCATCCCAATGAGATAAAGCAAACAGTTTCAACATTACTGAAAATGTAACAAGTATTTGCTGTACAGGGTCAGCAAATACGCAGAAGGATTTCTGCCCTTCTTCCCACTTATGCACACATGTAGACAGTATAGCCACTTATCTGTTTCCGAAAAGAAAAGTCCTGAATTTGCAGGAATTTTGACTCTTTACTAGGTAAGGCAAGAAGGTAATATTTAACATGTAACTAGGCAAGAATTAGATTGATGGCTAACAAGATGAGAAATATTGGAAGCAGATTTCTCAAATGTTACATGATATACAAAGCAGATATATGGGGAAAAGAAAAACTGCTTTATCGTAAATTTCGACATAAGAGTCTTCCACTTTTACATAATAACTTACCATTCTAGAAGTCAAATAACTATTTTGTAAAACAGTTGTCCAATTATGGTGTTTGATAAACAGCTGCTAAAAAGTATCTTTAATAGGAATTATAACCCATCGTTCTAGGATAAAATGTGCTGAATGATGACTTTCAAAACACTGAGGCAAAAGGATATAAAGAATAGGAGAAGTTATGCCCAAGGATTCAAGACTATCTTGTGGCTAAATTCAGAAATAAGCTCTTACAATTTCACTAGATGTCAATTTATTGCCTTTATTGTTTATGTAATGAGAAGAATCAAGTGGATGAATCAAACACCTTCTTTTTAAATCATTAATGAGCTTTCCCCTCTACATATCAATGAAGACAAACAAATATATGCAGACAACCATAAAATTTCTAAAAATAATCATTTGCAATGCAGAAAACTGCAGGGTGCTTACATTAAATGTAATTCACCAGCTGTGTCTTTAAATTTATATTCAAGAAAACCTGCACCAGACCACAACAAATAGAGGAGAAAATCCTGAGATTAAAATATTTCCAAATTATAAAAGAGGACCTAGGATTTAAAGTAGATGAATGTATTAATCTGAATGTTTAGAATCATCTTGAATAAAGATATCAAAGATCCTTGGATGCTGGGATAATATAAGTGAAAATATGCATAGCTATATAAATGAAAAGGAAACATGTCTTGTCTTTGGGATTCTGATTTACTTAGAGGAATATTCTGTGCTCAGTCTTAGTTACAATCAGCATAAATAACAGTATCCAGTAAAGCCAAGAATGCTTTGAATTTTACATTTTTTACGGGCTGAGTTTTCTATTATTTATAATCCTATTTATATCAGGTATCTGATAAGGCTCTGCTGTAAGCTTCATCCTGATCATAAAATAAAGCCACCATGAATTTTGGCACAGTGAGAATAGCATGACAATATCCAAGGTTCAAAATTATAGAAAAGGAATTGAAGAAATATATCCAGCACCTAAATGTGTTACAGTATGTATAAAATAGTTTTAATTGGTGCCTTCTATTTCCCTATTAAGGCACATGGCTCTAAGGGAAATCATTCTCGGAGCTTAATTTATATGACAGACATGTAGCTAAATGTCAATTCTGTTCTCAAATTTTATGATACAGCATGTGAGGTTTTGAAATCAGAGCTAGCTTGGTTGTCAAGGTTACCATGATAACACTCATGCTATTGAACACATACTAGTTGCTATCCAGATGACCTGTAAACAAGTACAGACAGGACCTTGGGGGCTGGAAAAAAGGGAATCTTGTGATGATAGCAGCACAATGCCATCACATAATACAGGTCCTCAGGGCTCAGCTTCTAACTATGTCACATCAATATCTAAATGCATGAAATGCCATGGGGAAGCTGGAAAAATAATTCAATGTTCTGTAAACATTTCGCCTCAAAATGATGATAGTTAAAGAAAAGAGGTTGTGTTGAGAGCAGTACTACCTCTGAAGATAAAATAACAATTTATTGAGTCAAAATTCTATTTGTGTATCAGAATAAAAGTCTTCTTTTTCCTTTCATATTCACATCTAGGTGCTGTGAGAATCTGTGCTCATTATTTCACACTAAAAGCAGTAAAAAAATAAGATTTTTTTTTTTTTTTTTTTTGGGGGATGGAGTTTTGCTCTTGTTGCCCAGGCTGTAGTGCAATGGCACGTACGATCTCCGCTCATCACAACCTCTGCCTCCCAGGTTCAAGCGATTCTCCTGTCTCAGCATCCCGAGTAGTTGGGATTACAGGCATGTGCCACCTTGCCCAGTTAATTTTGTATTTCTAGTAGAGATGGCGTTTCTCTGTATTGATCAGGCTGGTTTCGAACTCCTGACCTCAGGTAATCCACCTGCATCGGCCTCCCAAAGTGCTAGGATTACAGGAGTGAGCCACCGTGCCCGACCCAAGATCATATTTTAAGTACCACATTGCTTAAATGTCTTTTGGTTAACCCTTGTTGATCTAAATACAAATGCATTAAGAAAACTTTATATAAAGATTATACAGAATTATGTTCTTAAGATCTGCCATATGAATGTATCTCCCTAAAACCAATTTTAACCAAAAGGCTAAGCATTAGGAATCAATGGACACAGTAATACAGCTATAGAAAGATGCTGCTTTGATGCATTCCTTACTAACATTCTTTTCTAATTCCTAATTCTCAACACATCAGTATCCTCTGTGATATAAACACATATACAATCGAGTAACTATTTTCAGAATGCCAATTATTCCCTCTAGATTTTGAGCTTTTTTTTTTTTTTAAACTAGTCAAAGAAGGCACAAGACCTGCAGCTAAGAATATCTCCAGCTTTAGGCATAATTCCAAGGAACTAGAGATATTAAATAACTTTTAATCAAAACATTCATTCCCATGTGGAGACTGTTCAATGTCTGACATAAGCTCGTGTTTAAAAAATACCATTCCTCTGAAAGATAAAAAGAAAAAGGCAAGTTCTAGCATTTCTATTTCTATGGCTCTGTTACATTTTTTAACTTTGAAGAGTCAGTTTAAAAATAATTGGGAGTGGTGAGTGTGATGAGGACATTCTCACATATCAGGCAGTAGGGTTAGTCTAGATATAACCTCAGGGGTCCTGTTTCAGCTGTAAAAAGAATTGAATAGGATTTAAATGGAGTCCTACAGCTATTTGGAGTAGAAAGCATAAGAATTCGAGAATGCAGAGGCAGAGTACAGGATACATGAGATTGTAAATTCCAGAACCTGAATACTAAGAAGGAGTAGGAAGGGGCTTGGAATGTTTATTGTACTTATTTTTATTAAATATTTTATTTTTCACTGGGCTAAACAGCTTTACTGGAGAAAACCAGAATTACAAAGGACTTAAGAGTATATGGTCTTAGGGGCTTGCCTGTGGAATGTTTATATTTCAGAAAAAAAAGACTTCTTCTTTCTAAGGAGAAAATACCAATATGAAAATTTCACTGGGTACTAACACATCAAATAATGTCCACAAAATAATGTTTTGATTAGTCAAGTCAAAAGCAATCTGAAATAAATCGAAATGTTGAAACAATTGGGCATCTTGTTTCATGGAGGAGTGGGAGTGAGTCAGAGAGACCAAGTCATCCAAAAATGCCTGAGCTGATAAAGCCAAGCTCAGTTCCATCAGTTTTACTTCATATATTAAACAAACATAAAAAGCATATTTTTTTTTCAGTTATCTTTCAAGGGGAACACTGGCCAAAGATAGCGTGTCAAAGATTGGCAAGGATATCTGAATAACATAAGGAGTACATGCAGAGTTGGGACCAATCTTTGTTGGAGGATTAAAGAAAAAAATCCAAAAAAAGTGCATCTTCGCCCTAGCTAGACTTTAAACAGCAAAATACCACACATGTTCTCAGAGACTGTCTTTATAATGTCTACAGTCAAATATAGCAGAGTTGGTGGGAAAAGATCAGAGAAGCAACCAGAAGCTAAACCTCTTTTCCAATCTGAAATACCAAATTCATAGAAGTGGTCGGAAAAGGGTAGATAATCAGTGACAAACGTTTACTGTTAAATGAATTTTCTTCTAAGTTCTTTCCTGTCACAGCAGTACTCTGTCTTCTTAGTCTGACTTTCCTTTTCTAGTCCCATCTACATTGCCACTGTCATCCAGCTGAGGAGCTGTGGGCCTTGGCTTTCCTTACCTGGTTAAGTGAAAGAATAATTCTGACATTATCTTTTTATCTAGAAGCTTCAGATCAGGTCAATTTTACGGGCAATGAGAAGGACAGTGGACTCTATCCAGTTCTCCAGAAAGCTGTGAGTGGGACAGCCAAATGCCCTTCTCAAGTGTGTCTGGGTCCAGTTGGGTCTCTTGCTACACTAACACTTGGTGACCAAGAATGAGCTAATAATTATATATAATTATTAGAATGCAGAATCTGGTTGCTTCTCCGATCTTTTCCCACCAACTCTGCTATATTTGACTGTAGACATTATAAAGACAGTCTCTGAGAACATGTAGTATTTTGTTGTTCAAAGTCTAGCTAGGCCCAAGATATGTGGGTAAGATGTACTTTTTTGGGGACTTTTTTTCTTTAAGGTCCCAACTTGGCACATATATATATATATATATATATATATATATATATATACACACACACACATATATAGCTCTGTTGCCCAGGCTGGAGCGAAGTGGCTCAATTTCGGCTCACAGCAACCTCTGCCTCC